GGTGGGACTAGAACTCACAGTCGCCTTGTGACTGGTCCAAAGTCACCCAGTGGGCTTTCTCGCCTAAGGTGGGACTAGAACTCAGTCGCCTTGTGATCAATCCAAAGTCACCCAATGGGCTTTCTCGCCTAAGGTGGGACTAGAACTCACAGTCGCCTTGTGACTGGTCCAAAGTCACTCAGTGGGCTTTCTCGCCTAAGGTGGGACTAGAACTCACAGTCGCCTTGTGATTGGTCCAAAGGCACCCAGCTGGCTTTCACAGCTAACACGATCTTGAACTCCCTGTCTCCTGGTGATTGGCCCAATGTTACCCAGCCGGCTAAGGTGGGACTGGAACTCACAGCCTCCCATTTTCTAGCCTGCTGCCTTAACCACTAAAGCTAACTGACTCACTAGGGATATGGGGAGCCTGGCCCTGAGGCTGTGGGGATATTCAGGTACCCCCAAACCAGGACCCCAAATGCAGGAGAGTCACTTACCATCTGAGACGGCACCTGAAAGACGAACGTGGGCACTTTGTAAGCCAGCAAGTCACCGCGTGGCACCCCGCTGTAGCCTCCTGCCACAAGAAGCACATTTCCATTCATCACGGTGGCCACGTGCGAATACCGGCCACGCGCCTGGGCCGAAGTCTTCGATTCGTGCTCTGAGGGGAGAGACGTATACAACCAATCTGTCCGAAATGGTATAGGGTTTCCTGCCTGAGCAGGGGGTTGGACTAGATGACCTCCAAGGTCCCTTCCAACTTTACTATTATTATTATTATTATTATTATTATTATTATTATTATTATTATTATTATTATTATTATTATTATTATTATTATTATCTGTCTGCATTTCCACTACAGGACTTTTCCAAGAAAAATGACAATTACTGCTCCTCTCACCGCCACATTTGCAGAGAGCAAAGTCGAGGCAAATTTCCAAAGCTCTTCCAAATAAAGAATCAATGGAAATAAACTGAGCAGGGGAAGTTTATTTGTTTATTCGATTTCCGTAGCCTCGCATCTCGGGAAATGACTCTGGATGGGTCGATGTATTTAATTATTCAATAAATAAATTACAGAAACTCTTCTGCCACAGATCGCACCACGTTTTGTCAGCTAAACATGTGGGGACCAGGACACTCCCCCCCTTACCTTGAGTGATGAGAGGTGCCAGTTCGTGACTAGAGACCC